GCGGGTTCGAGACCCACCTGGGCAACTTGGCGAGACCTCATCTCTAAAATAAATCAAAAAATTAGCCGGGCATAGTAGTGCGTGCCTGTAGTTCCAGCTCCTTGGAAGGCTGAGGCGGAAGGATCGCCGGAGCTCAGCAAGTCGAGGCTGCGGTGACCGGGAGCGTGCTACTGCTCTCCAGCCTGGGCAATAGAGTGAGACTCCGACTCAAAAAAAAAAAAGAATTTAGCATTTTGATGCAGTACTGTTATATAATATTTCATATTCTGTGTCGTCCATGTTTCATTTTCACCTATAACCCAATGATGTCCTTTATTAACGATTTATTTCGTAGTCCAAGATCATGCATTGGGCTCTGTAATATGTCTGTTTTTATTTTTGTTGTTGTTGTTTTTTTTGTTTTGTTTTTTGAGTTGGAGTCTCACTCTGTCGCCCAGACTGGAGTGCAGTGACCGCTCCCGGCCACCACAGCCTCGACCTGCTGGGCTCCGGCAATCCTTCCGCCTCAGCCTTCCAAATAGCCGAAATTACAGGCACGCGCTACCATGCCCGGCTAATTTTTTGATTTATTGTAGAGATGAGGTCTCTCCTGCCCAGGCGGGTCTCGAACCCGCGGGCTCGGGCAATCCCTCACCTCAGCCTACCAAAGGCGCAGGATTACAGGCTGAGCCACCGAGCGCAGCATATGTCTGTTTTTAAAAGTTAATTTAATTTTTTTGTAGAGACAGGATCTCACTGTGTTGCCCAGCTTTTGAATTCCTGGGCTTAAGTAATCATTTCACCTCCCAAAGAGCCTGGGATTCCAGACAAGAGCCACTGTATCTGACTGTTGTATATCTCTCTAGTCCTCTTTGATCTTTTTTTTTTTTTTTCCTTTAGTTAGAATCTTACTCTGTTACCTAGGCTGGAGTGTAGTGGCATGATCATAGCTCAAGTTCCTGAACTCAGGTGATCCTTCCACCTCTGCCTCCCTAGTAGCTGAGACTATAGGCATGCGCCACCACACCCAGCTCACTTTTTTTATTTTTTGTAGAGATGAAGTGTTGCTATATTGCCATGCTGGTCTCAAACTCCTGGGCTCAAGTAATCTTCCTACCATGGCTTTCCAAAGTGCTGGGACTATAGGTGTGAGCCACTGTGCCTAGCCAACATTGATGTTTTTGAAGAGTAAAGCACAGATAAATTGCAGATGGCTTTATATTCTGAGCACAGGATTCACCCAAGTAAGTTTTTTAAAAAACATTTATTAGCCGGGCTCGGTGGCTCAGCCTGTAATCCCGCGCCTTTGGGAGGCTGAGGTGAGTGGATTGCTTGAGCCTGGGCAGGCGACCCACCTGGGCAGGCGAAACCTCATCTCTACAATAAAATAAAAAAATTAGCCGGGTGTGGTAGCGCGTGCCTGTAATTCTGGCTACTCGGAAGGCTGAGGCGGAAGGATCGCCGGAGCCCAGCAGGTCGAGGCTGCGGTGGCTGAGAGTGGCCACTGCACTCCAGTCTGGGCGACAGAGTGAGACTCCAACTCAAAAGAAAAAAAAAAAAATTTATTGAACATTTTTGCAGAGATCAACTTACCTTCAAAAAGTTTAATATGGGAAAGAAATGTGTTTTTTAGAAAAAGAACACATACTTTGACTTACAGGCTTACATTTAAATCACAGTTCTGCCATTTAGTAGTGGTGTGACACTGGGCAAGATACTTAATCTCACTGACTTTCAGTGTCCTCAACTCTCAAAGGGTATAGGCCGGGATTGGTGGCTTAGCCTGTAATCACAGCACTTTGGGAAACCGAGGCAAGTGGATTGCCTGAGCCTACGGGTTCAAGACCAGCCTGGGCAACTTGGTGAGTCCTCATCTCTATAATAAAATAAAAAGTATCCAGGCGTGGTCGCACGTGTCTGTAGTTCCGGCTACTTGGAAGGCTAAGGTAGAAGGATCACCGGAACGCAGCAGGTTGATGCTGGGGTGACTGTGATCATGCCACTGCACACCAGCCTGGACGAAGGAGTGAGACTCTAACTCAAAAATAAAAAATAGAAATAAGTAAATAAATAAAAGGGTATAGATAAGATATTGGCATGAAGAAATAAGATAATATATATAAATAATTAGAGCGGCACATGATCTGTATGCAATGAATGGTAACTGATTATCTTCACTTCAGTGTAAACTCACCCTCACCTGGGTTATACAAGGATGACTGCTCTTGTCTTCTCTGTAGCTAGGCTCGATGGCTCAGCCTGTAATCCTGCGCCTTTGGGAGGCTGAAGTGAGTGGATTGCCTGAGCCCGCGGGTTTGAGACCCGCCTGGGCAGCGAGACGTCATCTCTATAATAAATCAAAAAATCAGCCAGGCGTGGTAGCGCATGCCTGTAATTCCGGCTACTCGGAAGGCTGAGACGGAAGGATCGCCGGAGCCCAGCAGGTCGAGGTTGCGGTGGCAAGGAACGACCACTGCACTCCAGTCTGGGCGACAGAGTGAGACTCCAACTCAAAAAAAACAAACAAAAGAACAACTTCTCTGTAGTCTGTAGAACGTGGGAATGGAGAAAAAAGCAAGAGTCAGAGCAAGGAAATATGGAAGTTAGTTGCTTATCACATTGTTTCCTCAGATGTAAATATCACTAAGAATTCCTTGCATTTCATAGGTACTGTAGATCTTTTTTTTTTTTTTGAGTGGGAGTCTCACTCTATCGCCCAGACTGGAGTGTAGTAGCCACTCCCGGCCACCGCAGCCTCGACCTGCTGGGCACTGGCGATCCTTCCGCCTCAGCCTTCCAAGTAGCCAGAATTACAGGCATGCGCTCCCACGTCCGGCTGATTTTTGATTTATTGTAGAGATGAGGTCTCGCCAAGTTGCCCAGGTGGGTCTCGAACCCGTGGGCTCAGGCAATCCACTCACCTCAGCCTCCCAAAGATGCGGGATTACAGACTGAGCCACCGAGCCCAGCACTGTAGATCTTCTTAATAGGAACATGGAGGCTCCTCTGAATATTTGCTTCTGTATTCAAGTTCTGTGGTGTTTAATACTTTCCATTTACTTTCCATTCACTCTCCAAACTTAATAACTGGTAAGAAATAGTAATGTTCAAGGAATCATTTACTAAGGGACAGCTTAGTGTTTGCTTGTCAGTTGGTTTATTGATGTAACCTGTGTGCTGAATTCACTGGAATGTGGCATAGTCAAATCTGGCTTCTTCCACTCCTGAATTGGTGCAAGAAACACTTGGCAACTACTAAAGTGCTATTCTTTGCAGTTATTGGGTTTAATTTGCCACAGAAGTAAATTCCAGGAGGTAATATTCTTGCTAGGTTGTACCCGTTTTAGACTGAAGGAGTTCATGCTAAGGGCCAATGGTCTCTGACTCAAGGTGATTTTCTTGGCAGCCGTGAAGATTTCCAGAGGATTCCAGAACTTGCCATCAACCCACTGGGGGACCGGATCATCAATGCCTTCTTTCCAGAGGGGTGAGTCAGTGTACTTGTTGAACTTTCTTCCTGAGGCTTTCTCAGCCTGATTTAATTGATAACCTGGAATAAAGATATTGGCTAGGTCATTTCAGACTATGATCCCTCTTGATTATATTGGGCACCCCTAATTTTGTCATACCTAAGATATCATTTCTGTTTTAAATTTTTTTTTTTGGGGGGGTTGGAGTTTTACTCTCTCGCCCAGGCTGGAGTGTAGTGGCACGTTCATGGCCACTGCAGCCTTGACCTGCTGGGCTCAGGCGATCCTTCCTCCTCAGCCTTCCAAGGAGCTAGAACTACAGGTGTGTGTGACCACACCCAGCTAATTTTTTTGACTTATTTTAGAGATAAGGTCTCTCCAAGTTATGCAGCCTGGTCTCAAACCCCTGGGCTAAGGCAGTCTTTTCACCTCCACCTTCCAAAGTACTGGGATTACAGGCATGAGGATTATACCACACCTGGCTCTGTTTTAAATTTCAAATAGGTGTATGAGCCCATTTTCAATATTCTGTCTTTAATCTCTGTTTATCTCTGATATAAACCAGAATTTTAAGAAGTCTTTTTGAAATAATTTCAAATTACAGAAAAGTTGCAAAAATTGAAAATAGTGAAGAGAATATTGTATATCTTTTACCCAGATGTATCTGTTGTTACATTGTTAACATTTGCCTCATGTATGTTTGCTCTCTCAGTAGTAATCAATAAAAATATAATGTGAGCCACATACATAATTATACATTTTCTTTTTTTGGGGTTTTTTTTTTTGCATTGGAGTCTCACTTTGTTGCCCAGACTGACTAGAGTGCACTGGCATGCTCCCGACCACCACAGCCTCAACCTGCTGGGCTCCAGCAATCCTTCCGCCTAAGCTTTCAAAGTAGCTAGAACTACAGGCATATGCTACCATACCTGGCTAATTATTTTGATTTATTGTAGAGACGAGGTATTGCCAAGTTGGCCGGGTGGGTCTTGAACCTGCAGGCTCTGGCAGTCCACTTGCCTTAGCCTCCCAAGTGCCAGGATTATAGGCTGAGCCACTGAGCCTGGCCTGGTTTTGTTTTTGTTTATGTTTTGTTTTTTGTTTTTTGTTTTGAGTTGGAGTCTCCCTCTGTCACCCATACTGAAGTGCAGTGGCCGCTCCCAGCCACTGTAGCCTCGACCTGCTGGGCTCCGCCTATCCTTCCATTTCAGCCTTCCAAGTAGCCAGAAATACAGGCATGCGCTACCATGCCTGGCTGATTTTTTGATTTATTGTAGAGATGAGGTCTCGCTGCCCAGGCAGGTCTTGAACCCGTGGGCTCAGGCAATCCACTCAACTCAGCCTCTCAAAGGCGCGGGATTACAGGCTGAGCCACCGACCCCGGCAGTTTTTGTTTTTTTGAGTAGGAGTCTCACTCTGTTGCCCAGGCTGGAGTGCAGTGGCACACTCACAGCCCCCACAGCCTCAACCTGCTGGGCTCAGACGATCCTTCCTCCTAAGCCTTCCAAGTAGTCGGAACTCCAGGTGCATACCACCATGTGCAGATACTTTTTTGATTTATTGTAGAGATGAGGTCTCGTCAAGTTGCCCAGGCTGGTCTCAAATCCCTGGTCTCAGGCATTTCTCTTGCCTCTGCCTCCCAAAATGCTGGGACTACAGCATGAGCCACTGTACCCAACCATTATACATTTTCTTTTTTTGTTTTTTTTTTTTTTTTAGTTGGAATCTCATTCTGTCGCCCAGACTGGAGTGCAGTGGCCGCTTCCGGCCACCGCAGCCTCGATTTGCTGGGCCTCGGCGATCCTTCCGCCTCAGCCTTACGAGTAGCCAGAACTACAGGTGTGCGCTGCCACGCCCAGCTAATTTTTGATTTATTGTAGAGATGAGGTCTCGCCAAGTTGCCCAGGCGGGTCTCGAACCCGCGGTCTCAGCAATCCACTCACCTCAGCCTCCCAAAGGCGCGGGATTACAGGCTGAGCCACCGAGCCCGGCTCATTATACATTTTCTAATAGCCATGTTAAAAAGTTAAAAAAAAAAAGTTAAAATAGGCCGGTCTATGTGGCTCAGCCTGTAATCCCAGCACTTTGGGAGGCCAAGGCTCTACAATAAATAAAAAATTAGCCAGGCATGGTAGTGCCTGCCTATAGTTCCAGCTATTTGGAAGGCTGAGGCAGAAGGATCGCTGGAGCCCAGCAGGTTGACACTGGGTGGCTGTGAGTGTACCACTGCACTCTAGCCTGGGTGACGGAATGAGACTCCAACTCAAAAAAACAAAAGTTAAAATAACTTTGGAAATATATATATTTTATTTAATGCAATATATTCAAAATATTGTCATTTGAATATATAGTCAATATTAAAACTACTCAGATATTTTGCATTTTTTTTTTTTTTTGAGTTGGAGTCTCACTCTGTCACCCAGACTGGAGTGCAGTGGCCACTCCCGGCCACCACCGCCTCAACCTGCGGAGCTCTGGCGCAGATCCTTCCACCTCAGCCTTCCAAGTAGCTGGAACTACAGGCGCGTGCTACCATGCCCGGCTAATTTTTTGATTTATTGTAGAGATGAGGTCTCGCCAAGTTGCCCAGGCAGGTCTCGAACCCGTGGGCTCAGGTAATCCACTCACCTCAGCCTCCCAAGGCGCGGGATTACAGGCTGAGCCACTGAACCCGGCTTATTTTGCATTTTTTAATATTAAATCTTTGAAATTCAGTATATAATTTACACTTACAGCACACATCAGATCAAACTAGCCATGACTCAAATGCTCATAGTTACATGTGACTAGTGGCTGCAGTATTGGACAGTGCAGCTTGTGCACCTGTTCTTGCTCTAGATACACTATCTTACATCCTCTCTCTCTCCTCTACTCCCTTTCTCTCTCTCTCTGTATATATATGTATGTATATATATCTATACACGTATACATGTGTGTGTGTATATATATATACTCACATAATTGTTCTTTGTGTGTGTTCACTTAATTGTATTTCTGAAGCATTTAAGGGTAAGTTACATAGTCATGACCCTTTACCTTCAGTGTGTGTTTGCTAAGAATAGGAATATTATTTTACATGTCCATAGTATAGTTATCCATTTCAGTAAGCTTGACCTACTTTTATCATCTATTAACTCTTTTATTAATCTTTTATCTATTTTATTCTAATTTATTCCTATTCCAACTTTATCAGTCTCTGCAATAAATCTCTTTAAAAATTTTTTTTATTTTTTTTGAGTCAGATTCTCACTCTGTCGCCCAGGCTGTAGTGTGGTGGCACTCTCCCAGCCATCACAGCCTCAACCTTCTGAACTCATGTGATCCTTCCTCCACCTCAGACTTCCAAGTAGCTGGAACTATAGGCGTGCCACACCTAGCTAATTGTTTGATTTATTGTAGAGACAGGTCTTGCCAAGTTGCCCAGGCTGGTCTCAAATCCCTCACCTCAGGCAATCCTCTCACCTCAGCCTTCCAAAGTGCTGGGATTACAGGCTTGAACCACTGCACCTGGCCCCAATAAATCTCCCTTATAGCACTTTTCACTCTTCCAGGATAGGATCTAGTCTAGGTTAGTTGTCACATCTTTTTAGCCTCCTTTAATCTGGAACATTTCTAAGGCCTTTGTCTTACTTTTATGATACTGACTAATATCATAAAAGGATATAGTTCTCATCATACACATACTTTTTCAAGTAGATTGTTCCTTAATTTATGTTTGTCTAAAGTACAGTTTGACTTCTGATATGCTTCACTACTTAATACACTGCCTTCAGAGTACTGAGTAGATATATATTGATTTGATTGGGTACCTTTTCATGAATAAAGTTCATTGTATAATCTTTTAAAGTAATCTCCTAAGCAATCTCTTCCTCATTGCATGTGAATTGTTTATGTGACCAGCTGACTTCAAAATGTTATATGGATGCCAAGACTTAATAATGAGACTGTCAGGCCGGGCATGGTGGCTCCCTCCTATAATCCCAGTGCTTTGAGAGGCTGAGGTGAGAGGATTGTCTGTGCCACAGGTTTGTGACCAGCCTGGGTGACTTGGTGAGACCTCAGCTCTACAATACATCAAAAAATTAGCCAGGTGTGGTGGTGCGTGTCTGTACTTCCAGCTACTTGGAACGCTGAGGTGGAAGGATTGGTCCCCTGAGCCCAGCAAGTCAAGGCTGTGGTGGCTGCCACTGCCCACCAGTCTGGGCAACAGAGTGAGAATCCGACTCAAAAAAAAACAAATTAGACTATCAATGAGTACACTATCAGATAAAATGTCTGGAGTAGAAATTTTAGAACTCTGAATTGATAGCAAAGGAATTTGCTAGATGAGAGGGTTGGGCACTCAGGAAATTTGAGAGATAGTCAGAAGGGGGATGAAGACTGGCAGTTTATGAAAGGTGGGAATCAAACCAGACTGAGATTTATTCTTTTCAGATTAATGTTGACTATGAAGAATCTTCTGCCCTCCCTCATATTTCCCTTTCTCCCTCTCTGAACTGCCCAGTTTCTTTCAGTGAGGTTTTTGTGCTGAATACTTTAGTTTATCTGATTCCTCTTTTAGCCATAGCAAAGCATTGAACTCTGACCAGAGATAACTTTCATAGCTACGCTTTGTATCCAAACCTTTTGCGATGAAAAGTAAACCCAGTAGAGTAATTTTGCCCACTTTTTTTTCAGAGTTCCTTAGTCACCATTGATTACTTGGAAGAAGCAGCTTGTGGAAAGCTGTTTTGTAAAGCCAAACTGTATTTGCTCTGACTACAGTATCACTTGGTATTCTATCCACCAATCTACTGCTAAGGAAACTAGGCAGGGTGCGTGTGAGGAACCAGAGGGTTATATTGCACCACACTGCTTAGCTTTTTAAAGCAAGCTGCACTCCTGTCTTGCTTCAGTCAGATAGAAATATCTGGCTTCTGCTTTTTTCTTTTCTAGCCTTATGCATGTGGAATTTTCTTTTTTCTTTTAAAGAATGAGATATGAAAGTAGACCATTGGTATTTAGTTTCCTTTTACTAAGAAACTTTATGCTAGTAATACTTCTTAACCTATTTTTTTGGCATATGACTCAAATCTTATTCCACATTACTTGATTCCTCAGATCTCACTTTTTTTTTTTTTGGTTTGTTTTGTCTTTTTCTGAGTTGGAGTCTCACTCCGTTGCCCTGGCTAGAGTGCAGTGGCACAGTCATGGCCACCCCAGAGTCAACCTGCTGGGCTCTGGCGAGCCTTTCGCCTCAGCCTTCCAAATAGCTGGAACTACAGGTGTGTGCTACCGCGCCCAGCTCATTTTTTATTTATTGTAGAGATGAGGTCTCTCCAAGTTGCCCAGGCTAGTCTCAAACCCGCGAGCTCAAGCAATCCACGTGCCTCGGCCTCTCAAAGTGCTAGGATTATAGGCTGAGCCACTGACCCTAGCCAGATCTCACATTTTGACTAGATACTGCTCCATTAGCAGTACAGCTGCCTTGGAGAACTAAAGGTCATTTTTTTGCGTACAGTTGCTCACAAGCTAGCCTTTGAACTCTGCCTTTGAAAGTCTCTGAACTGTGTGTCTGCTAACACTTGAGAGACCCCACATACCTCATCTATTCAAGGGGGCACACAAAGACTAAGTTTTTTTTTTTAGGTAGCCACAGTGTCAGGCCACTTGCTGTTTCCGTTACTAACTTAGATAAATACATAATTATGTCACATGGGACATTCGTTTTTATTTATTTATTTATTTATTTTGAGTTGGAGTCTCACTCAGTCGCCCAGACTGGAGTGCAGTGGCTGCTCCTGGCCACCGCAGCCTTGCCTGCTGGGCTCCGGCTATCCTTCTGCCTCAGCCTTCCGAGTAGCTGGAATTACAGGCATGCGCTACCACGCCCAACTGATTTTTAGATTTATTGTAGAGATGAGGTCTCGCTGCCCAGGCGGGTCTCGAACCCGCAGGCTCAGGCAATCCACTCACCTCAACCTCCCAAAGGTGCGGGATTACAGGCTGAGCCACCGAGCCCGGCCTTTTAATATTAACGAGCATTCTTCATTCAAGTTTTGAGTATTCTTAGAAGATTACTTAGTAGTCTGATATGATTAAAAGATTTTTTCAGCCAGGCCCGATGCAGAGGTGGGCAATTTGGCAAGACCTCGTCTCTATAATAAATTTGGGGGAAAAAAAAAAAATTAGCCGGGCATGGTGGCTCACAACTATAGTCCCAGCTACTTGGGAGGCTGAGGCTGAAGGATCGCCTGAGCCCAGCAGGTTGAGGCTGCGGTGGCCATGAGCATGTTACTGTACTCCAGCCTGGGTGACAGAGTAAGACTCCGACTCAAAAAAAAAAAAAAAAAAAAAGATTTTCTCTAAAGTTAACCACTGAGAAAGCTTTACATACAAAGAGATTCTTTCAAAACATTATTTATGATCACAAAAATGAGAAAAAATGATCCTATTATGAAGGAATAATAAAATCATTCCTACACAGTTATACATAATTATTATGACATTTAAAATGTTTTGAAATGTTTATATTGGTTGGAGAATTGCTTAAAAGTTTTTTTAAAAAGGCAGGATACTACATGATTTATACAGTTGTTCACAGTTATTCACAAAGCATAGAAAAATTACTGTAAGAAAGTTCATTCAGGCCAGGCTTGGTGGCTCAGCCTGTAATCCTAGCACTTTGGGAGACCGAGGCAAGTGGATTACCTGAGCCCACGGGTTTGAGACCCTCCTGGCAACTTGTTGAGACCTCGTCTCCACAATAAATCAAAAAATTAGCTGAGCATGGTGGCACATACCAATGGTTTCAGCTATTTGCACTCCAGCCTGGGCGACAGAGTAAGACTTTGACTCACACACACACACAAAAAGAAGCATTTCCTATAATGTACCTTAATTTTAAGATATCCCTAGGTGTGCATTTCTGCAGGGGAGACATGGGAGGTGATGGAGGAGTCATTGGGTTGAAATAACTAACTTGTGTTTACTGCAAAGTTCAAAGCAGTGAGTTCAAGTTCTGCTCTCCTATATGTATAGTCCTGGCAGTACTCTTTTTTTTTTGAATTGGAGTCTCACTCTGTCGCCCAGACTGGAGTGCAGTAGCATGCTCCTGGCCACCACAGCCCCGACCTGCTGGGCTCCGGTGATCCTTCTGCCTCAGCCTTCCAAGAAGCTGGAACTACAGACGTGTGCTACCACACCCGGCTCATTTTTTTATTTATTGTAGAGATGAGGTCTTGCCAAGTTACCCAGGTGGGTCTTGAACCTGCGGGCTCAGGCAATCCACTCGCCTCTCAAAGTGTCAGGATTACAGGCTGAGCCACCGAGCCCAGCCTCCTGGCAGTACTCTAAATCCTTTATTTGGAAAAGAGATAATAAGCAAATTTGATAGATAATTCTAACCCTGATAAGTCCAGTTACTGCTCCAAGTCTTGTTAAATCATCATCCAGTGGGAATAATAACTCCTACCTCATAAGATCAGGGTGAGACTTAGATGATATTCTTTGAACCCTAAAGTACCAAGCATATGGAAAGAAACCTCATTCAGTGGACTTTCAGATTACCGTAGCTAATGCTGTCATCAATATATTGAATTCATAAAAAATAATCACCCTGACTGACATGATGTTCTGTTTGTTACATTTCACAATCAGAGAGGACCAGGTAAACTTCCGTGGATTCATGAGAACTTTGGCTCATTTCCGACCCATAGAGGATAATGAAAAGAGCAAAGATGTGAATGGACCAGAACCACTCAACAGCCGAAGCAACAAACTGCACTGTAAGAAGCTAAAACCTTCTGGCTTAATATCTATGACTTTCATTTCTTACAAATCATTTATTTACTCATTCACTGATTGAACAAGCATGTACAAAAGCATGGTGGTTAAGAGCTCAGAACCTGGAGCTAAACTAGCTGAGTTTGAATCCTAGCTCTACTACTTTTTGGCTAAGTGAGTTTGGGCAAGTTACTTAAAATCTTTGGGCCCCAGTTTCCTCTTCTGTAAAATGGGATATTCAGGGGTTCTGCATCGGAATGCTGTAAGGATTAAATGAATTAACGTATGTCAAGTGTCTCAAACAGTGCCTCGAGAATACTAGGTACTCAATAAGTGTCAGCTATTAGCATTGTAATTCATTGAGTGCCTACCTAGTGTGCTAGGCACTGTGGTAAGTGCTAGAGTGCGATAGTGAACAAGACCCAAGCCCCACCTGTAAGTAATAATGGCAATCTTCTGTGTATCGTAGAATTTGGTAGACACTGGATGTGACTGACGTAGTGGTGCAGGATTTCATTTTTGTCCCCATGCCTCTTGCCTCCTTTCCTTAAATGCTTGTTTTATTTCCCTCTGCTCTTGTTGGGTCATGTATGATGTTGCCCAATACCTTACAACACTTCTCCAGGAAGTTGAAATTAGATTTCTCTATTTATTCAGCAAAATTGTAGTTGTATTAAACTGACAGAACCCAAGCTTCTCTTATAAGAGTGCACAGTGTATATAGAGAGGTTTGTGAAGCCATAGAATAAATGGAGCCCATCACATTTTTGCTTGATGATTTAAAGAAAACTAAAAGGTTTTTTGGGGGGGTATTTTTGGTTTTTTTGAGTTGAAGTCTCACTCTGTCACGCCGGCTGGAGTGCAGTGGGATGCTGCTCGTGACCAACGCAGCCTTGACCTGCTGGGCTAGGCAATCCTTCTACCTCAGCCTTCCAAGTAGCTGGAACTACAGGTGTATGCCACCATACCTGGCTAATTTTTGATTTATTGTAGAGATGAAGTCTCGTCAAGTTGCCCACGCTGGTCTTAAACCTGTGGACTCAGGCAGTCCTCTCACCTTGGCCTCCCAAAGTGCTGGGATTACAGGTGTGAGCCACTGTATCAGGCAAAGACTTTTTAATATTAAAACAAATGCAAACTGGGCTCGGTGGCTCAGCCTGTAATCCCGCACCTTTGAGAGGCTGAGGTGAGTGGATTGCCTGAGCCTGTGTGTTTGAGACACGCCTGGGCAGCAAGACCTCATCTCTACAATAAATCAAAAAATCAGCCGGGCGTGGTAACGCATGCCTGTAATTCCGGCTACTCGGAAGGCTCAGGCGGAAGGATTGCCGGAGCCCAGCAGGTGAGGCTGCGGTGGCCGGGAGCGGCCACTGCACTCCTGTCTGGGCGACTGAGTGAGACTCCAACTAAAAAAAAAACAAAAAAAAAACAAATGCAGATACATTATAGAATATGATACCAAATTTACATTTGAAAAATGGTGCTTGAGACATAAATTTCAGTTTGTGGCCCTTGGGCTATGGCTGTATCACCAGATCTCCCTGGGTATAGGAGTATGAGTTCACTACTCTGTTGTTTTTTTTTTTTTGGTTTTTTTTTTTGAGTCAAAATCTCTCTGTTGCCAATACTGGAGAGCAGTGGCATGATCAAGGGTCACCTCAGCCCTGACCTACTGGGCTCGTGTAGTCCTACAGCCTCAGCTTACTGATTAGATAAGACTACAGAGGTGTACCACCACACCAGGCTGATTTTTCTATTTTTTGGTAGAGACAAGGTCTTGCTCTTGTCTCGGCCTCCCAAAGTGCTAGGATTACAGGTGTGAACCACCATACCTGACAAAGTTTACTCCTCTGTTGATGCATCGAGTGAAAAGTTTAAGAACTGAAATGAGTCTTGTTGTATAAGACAGGAAAGATGAGCCGGGCTCGGTGGCTCAGCCTGTAATCCCGCGCCTTTGGGAGGCTGAGGT